GTAAGCTTACTAAAGCCTCTGTTTAAAAAGCGCATTCACCTTTTTGCCTGTTCATGGAATTAAATTCAACCCGAAATGCATATTAGGAAAATTCATAACATCCTATCAAGATTTGAAAATATAATAAGATCGATGACTTACGGACAAATTGTGAGTTAATCAAAAATAATTCAGAGTTGTCATCATCAATAAGTCATGGTATGCAAATTAAATGCTCATCAGCCTAACCAGAATAATCAACATAAAGAAATTTCATACAATTGACCTTTGTGTTACAATAGGAACAGGTAAGGATTGAAAGCTCTCCATCGAATCAAATTTATAGGGAATACTATGAGGCTTTAGGTGGCATTGAATAAAGCCAGCTTCTATTCTCCACTCAGCCATTCATTATTTGGGATTTATTTGGACCCAGCTAAATCAAAGAATTTTCACAAATTTAAGAGGCAAAAAATGGAATCGATCATGAAGTATTATCTCACCTCAATCTCCTTTAAGAGTCCTGACTTTTCGCGCGTCAACTGGTCAATAAGGACGTCCATATCCGAGAGCATCCTGTCGACGTGAACTGCTAACCTCTCAGCACCCTTGGATATGACACGGGGCGGGCGTTCAACAGGCGGAGTAGGAGTCACATGAATAGTTGGTGGAGTTGTTGTCATAATCGGTAAGGGCTGTAGTTTATCTGTCGTCGTGATTGGTTGCTCTGAGGTCGCGAGTGTAGATGTCACGCCACCGAATGTGGCTGAGGTAGACAGAGGCATAGGTTTCGAAAGAGGCTGAGCAGCTGATATTGGTGGCTGAAGCACAGTGGAAGTGGCCAAGGGACTGATCGTAGCACTGGCTAGATCAGGTCCGGGAGCCATGATGACTGACTCAGGAGGGAGTGGTTTTTTTACTCCTGCTAACGCTTCCTGAAATAGGAGTGGAAGCAAAAGAATAAAAAAATAAGATAATCAATCTGGGCTGTTGAAAGGGCTAGTACTCAGTTAGTACTCAGTGATTTTAACGTTATAAATGGTACTTGTATAAGCAAAAATACTGACATCACAAATGAACAGATTAGACCTAAGTAGCCCAGCCACTAAAAGTTATTAATTATATGGAAATGCCGAAGATCCAAATGGCTAGCAAATGACTTGGCTGTGAGATAATACCCGAATATTGGGCTGCTATCATTGCAACTAATTTACAAGAGATTAGAAGAACAAGATAATCACACATGGAGGAACATTTTAACCTGGAAAGTATTAGAACGCTGATGCAACCCACGGTAAACAATTGTCTAAATAGAAATCTAATTTCAAATAGTATATAAGTAGTTTCGAGACTACCAGTAAATCAGTTATATGAAATGTGTTCACCCTATTTGTTTGCTGAATGACTTGTGATGTGAATAGAGCTGACGTTTCCAGTGAACTTCACATGACCTTGCTTTCCCAAAAGTTGTTCTCATCCAGGCTGGACTGCAGTTTCGACCTCGAATAGGTCTTACCAACACTCCCAGTGGGAGTCGAACCGTGACAGTGCAGCAAGTGAACTTGACACATTCACTATTCGGCTACATTGCCACAAGTGCCCTTAAGTCACAGGGCAGAAGTGGGTTTCAGGGAAGGCCAGACCTTTTCCCATATCACATTCGTTGGTAGGATTATAGCAAAGAGGGTGAATACATTTCGAATAATACTTATTAGTAAGGACTTTTAGAAACAACAAATAAGAGCCTGCGCGATGGATACCTAGGATAAATATTGAGTTAATGAAATTCCATGTTTCCTTAAAATCCCCGTGACCATTCTTTTTAGATAAGATAAAGCGACCAGACAAAAGGCCACACCATCTTGGTCTTCATTTCTACGAAAGTAA